AACCATAGCACACCTCACACTGCAATGCCACCATCTTTCCTCTATTAAACAGAGTTACCTGACAGCAGGAGAACAAGCTTCTACATCTTTGTAACCCTCCCATGCCTGGCACAGAAGAGGCTTCCCAATAAAAGACTGTGTTAAAATGTGTCGCCATTAAGAGTGAAAAATGAGTCTTTTTCTAACTGTAAGAAAAACAAAAGTTAATGGATAAAGTTTTCTCAATTGCATAATTTTCTCCCAGAACATTTTCCTCAAACTTTTGAGACGTCCTACCATTTGTTTTTTATGCAACCCTTTCTGATTAAACAAAATTATTAAGTATATTAGTTGAGGAAAATTGTTTATTTTAGAAAGTCATTATTAATGAGAACATTTAGGAAATAATTGATCATTCAGCTACCACTGTCAAAAAGTTACTGGTCTACTTTCCCACATGTGTACTTTGGAGATTAAGTAGTACGCAAGTAGTACTGTGTTGGCAGCAGTGGATAATCCATTTTAATAAAAACCTTTCTATTCCCCTCTGCCTTCCCAGCGATGTTATGTTTTTGGAGGGGTGTGTCAGCATATCCTCAGCTAGTGGGCATGAACTATATTGATGATTTTGACTATACTATATATATATAACTATATTGATGATATTGACTATATTGTATGATTATATGAAGATACATTATTAAATACACATGTAGGAGGCAAAAAACATGATCCAGATGTAGGGTATGAAGATATGGTCACCCTGATTGGAGATGAAGGAAGAGATATTCAAAAGAAATAAGATCCTTTTATAGAGCTTGTAAGTTAAAGAGGAAAAAAGAGATCTGAGGAGAAATTTAAAAGTCCTAATTAAGATGTCAGCCTCAAATTATTTCAAAAGGAGTCCACAAATTCTCAGGCTCTATAACCAAGAGGAAGACTCCTCTGTGGGGAAAATTCAGAAAAGATTGGCTTTAAGGTGGCCATGAGAAATAGGGCTTTGATCTAAGGCCCAGTGGCTTCAGTTAGACCCAGTAGGCAGATGTTCTCTTCTTCTTCAAGGATCCAGGAAACTAAGAGCAAGTAAAGCAAGTGCACACCTCCTTTAGAGCATTTACACTGTATCGTAACACAGGCTTATGTGAGTCTCCCACATTAGCCCTTAAAGTTGATGAGGGCATGTACTAAGCTTTAATTTCTTTCTTTCTTTCTTTCTTTTTTTTGAGGAAGATTAGCCCTGAGCTAACTTTTGCCACCAAACTTCCTCTTTTTGCTGAGGAAGGGTGGCCCTGAGCCAACATCTGTGCCCATCTTGCTCTACGTTATATGTGGGACGCCGACCACAGCATGGCTTGCCAAGTGGTGCCACGTCCGTGAACCCTTGGCTGCCAAAGCAGAACGTGAGCACTTAACCTCTGCGCCACCGGGCTTGCCCCACAAACTTTAATGTGTATATATACAGAGGGACTAAAACTGTGCCTGGCATATAGAAAACACTAAGTAAATATTGGTTGTTTAATAAAGGAGATTGTCTCATAGAATTTGAGCCAGAAGGGAGCAAAGAGATCTTCTAGACTAGTGGTCTCCAAATCTATCTGGACATCAGAATCACCTGCAGAGTGGGGGAGGGTGCTCTTTAAGAAAACGGATTCTAGAATGCATAGAGGATACACTCCTTACTCCCTCCAAAGAAGACAACCCAAAGTACCCTCCTAATCAGACTGAATATTTTCTTTCCAAGATCGAGAACAAGGCAAGGCTGTCTGCTCTTGCCACTTCCATTCAACACAGAACTGGAAGTTCTAGCAAGTGCAATAAGATAAGAAAAAAGAAGTAAAAGGTATACAGATTGGAAAGAAGAAATAAAAGTCTCCCCATTCACCAATGCCATAATTGTCTTCACAGCAAATCCCAAGGAACCTACAAATACACTTGCTCACCTTGCAAGCAGAGATGATGATGGTCCTCAAGTTATGTGGACAAAGGAAGTAGAGCAACCAAGATAATTTCTAAAAAGATGAACACACTTGGAAGACTTGCACCACTTATTTCAAGACCCATTCAAAATCTGCAGTAATCGAGAGAGAGTGGTCTTGGCAAAAGGATAGACACATAGATCATTGGAACACAAGAGTGAGTCCAGAAATAAATCCACACAAATAGGGTCAACTGATTTTTGGCAAAGGTAAAAAACAATTAAATGGAGAAAAAAATGGCAAATGACAAGTGTTGGCAAGGATGTGGAGGAACTTGAACCCCACACACTGCTGGTGAGGATGTAAAATGGTGCAGCTGCTTTGGAAAACAGTGTGGCATTTCCTCAAAATGTTAAATAGAGTTACCATGTGACCCAGAAATTCCATTCCTAGATATACACCCAAGAGAAATAAAAACATTCACCCATACAAAAACCTATACACAAATGTTCATGCAGCATAATTCATAATAGCCAAAAGGTGAAAACAACCCAAATGTCCAAGTGATAAATGTATAAACAAAATACGATATATGCATACCATGCGATATTATTTGTTTGTAAAAAGAAATGAAGTGCTGATGACACAGATGAACTTTGAAAACATTATGCTAAGTGAAAGAAACCAGTCACAAAAGACTTTCTACTGTATGAGGATTTATTTTACATGAAATGTCCAGAACAGGCAAATCTATAGAAATGGAAAGCAGATTAGTAGTTGTTAGCGGCTAAAGGTTGGGAGAAAGAATGAACGCTAATAGGTATGACATTTCTTTTTGGGGTGAAATCAGTTCTAAAACTGATCTTGGCAAGAGTTGTACAACTCTGTGAATGTACTAAAAGCTTGAAATTGCATAATACTTTGGGTGAATTTTATGCCATCTGAATTATATTTCAATAAAGCTTTTATTTTTTTTAAAGTAGAGATCATTAAAACAAAATTAAAAAATAAAGTGCGTGTTAAAATCGCTCACTCTCAGAGACACTCCCACCCCAAGCACCACCACCTGCCTACTGCTGCCCTCCACCCACCAGGGTTCTTCCCAGAGTGTCTGCAGGCAAGGGCCAGCCGTAAACTGTCCAGACCACATGTTACAAACCAGTGACCTAGGGATCCTTTGTGGCCTACAAACTCTTCTTTCTTAGCTGATAGAGCTTTAAAATATTTTTAAAATTAATTGCAAACATTTTAAAATTAGAGGAGTTCATACTAAGTGTGGATTTTCAGCTTCTCCGGGGGAGGACAACAAAATGAAAAAACCCCACTTGATGGCCACCTGCATTTCCCGTGTGGAAAAATGAGACTGCCTTTGTTAGGGTAAGATGCCCTTCCCACTTGCCCCTGTACATCTGGCCTAAGTCACTTCTTTTTAATCCTTAGGGACATTTGAGTTTTCAACACCTGCTCAGACCTTTCCCTGCATTCAAACTTCCTTCTTTGGCATCCCAGTGCCTCAGGCCCTGTTAGGTGACCGACTAATCCCTGGGTTTTCAACCCTGGCTGCACATCGGGATCTCCTGGGCCAATGAACAAAATTCCCACGCAAGGCTGCACCCCTGACCAGTTGAATCAGAATCTCAGGGGAAAAGGGGGTGGGGGGGCAGGCCTAGTGTACTAAAAAACGAAACAAAATCTCAGTTCCCTCGGTGATTCCAAACTGTATCCAGGAAGGCAAACCACTGTGATAATCTGCTAATCCAATTCAAGAGGAAGTTTTAGCATCTAAACACGGTTTAACGGCCTCCCACATAACTTTAGTCTTTCAAGCTTTTCCGGAAGGAGTAATTGATGTGGAAATTGAAGGCAGAACTAGGAGGATGGTTTTGGTTAGGTGAACCTTTTACTTGATTTTCAAATTAGAGTTGGTGGCTGTTTGGACCTAAATGTAACTATCATTTCTATAATTAGTCTATTAAAACATTTTGTAATCATTTTATCAAGCACAGACAGGTCATGGTGGCTTTATAGCTTTACATGGTGCCATTTTATTATTACTATTAGTAATTCTTTTTTTGAGGAAGACTGGCCCTGAGCTAACATGCATGCCCATCTTCCTCTACTTTATATGTGGGACACCTGCCACAGCATGGCTTACCAAGCGGTGTGTAGGTCTGCACCCTCCATCCAAACCGGTGAACCCCCCGAATCAAGCGGAAGGTGCAAACTTAACCGCTGTGCCACTGGTCGATCCCCTTTTAAAAATTATTTTGAACCAGCAAGTTTTTTAATCAATGAATTTGAGTTGCTATTGAGACCTTCCGTGGGTTCTGGAAATGCCGCTGGGTTTGACAAGCACAAGAAGTTATGGTGGCTTTTTGAAAGGTCATGAGTGGCCAATACAGCAAGACAGGAACATGTGCTGGCAGCCACTCGATAAATACTTGGTGAATAAATTGACAAGGCATTTTTTCCTCCTCATCTTCACTTGAGATGGAGAATTTGGTGACATCTTGCAGTAGGGGGAGGGTGTATGTACGCCCTCGTCAGATGTCCTCCGACGGAGTGTTTTGTTAAGCCATCCCTAGACGATCCACAGAAGGCTCTAGGTAGAGAAAACACTGGGTTAGGCAAGAGCAGCCCCCACGCACCTCGTGTATGTCCTTCCAAGGCTCCCTTAAACTTCAGTTTGGCATAGCAGGGACCCCAGGCTCCCCCTAACCGAAGCCTAGAAGAAGGTGCTGTGTGTTCAGTCTGACCTCCCCACGACCCGAATAGGCAAACAGACGGCACCCCTTGGAAAGGACCAGTGCAGCCTGGCTAGAAGGCTGGGCGGTGGGCTAGCATTAAGGGGCACAACGGGGACAATCCTGGGGGCTGCACCCAAAGCATCCCCTGCACCTGCAAATCCCCCACCTCAGTTTGGCCCCCCTGCACCCCGGCGGTCCAGCCCACCAGGGAGAGGCTGCCCGCGGGGCCGCAGTGGGGAGGAGGGTCGGCGGCCGGAGGAGGGAGGCGGCGAGCGAGGCTGGGGCGGGGGGCGCGGCGGGCGCGGTGCGGTCCAGGGGGAGGCGGGCGGAGGGAAGCGCCGCTGCCGCCACTGCCGCCGCTGCCGCCACTGCCGCCGCCTCACCCGCGGCGACACAGACGCCGGGAGCGGCCGAGGCGGTGAGTCGCAGCGCCTTCCCTCCGCTTTTCCGGAGCCGGAGCGGAGTCGGAGCGGCAGCCGGGGCGGGCGTGCTGGGGGCGGCGGCGCCGGGAGCGGCTGCTGGGGGGACCCGCGCGCTTCGGGCGCGGCGGGCTCAGGGTGGGCGCGAGGAGCGCGCGCTTCTAGGGACCTGCTCCTTGCAGCCTTTCCCGGGTGCAGCTCCCCTGTCACTTCCTCTGTCCGTCCTTCAGTGCCTCTGAGGGAAAATAAAACAAAACCAAAGACCCTGAGGGTGGGTGGCAGGAAAGGAGAGAGCAACTTTGCAGAGAGACGCGCAGAGGCGAGCGGAGCAGGCAGGATGGGGGCGCGCTGGGTCGGAAGGGGGCGTCCGTGCGCCTGGTGGCCCGGGACCTCTAGCATCCCTCCCTGGGGTGAGGGGCGAGGTGTGAGGTGGGGGGTCGGAGTCGAGGGCACTCGCTGCTTCCCGCGCCTGCGGCGTCCGCACTGAGAGGCCGCAGGAGGCGTGTGCGAGGGGTGGGCGCCCGGAGAGGGGCTTTTGGAGCGACTGCAAGGCGCTAGTTGAATCCAGAGGAAGAAGTGGTCTGCGTTTTGGACTCGGGACCTGAAAGATTTGTGTCTCTTGCCCTCGGGGACTCGGGAAGGGGTGTGCTGGGGAGATGTGTTTGAGTGTTTTTCAGTGCATACCGATTTATTTTTAGCTCCCAGAGAAGCAGGATGTGCAAAGTGGGTTGTATCAGCCCGGGAGGGGCAGGAGGTCTCCCTGTCCGCAGGAAATACACAAGTTTCTTGCTGCAGATGCTTGCTTTAACTTTCATGACTGGAGAAAGAAAGCCATTTGGCTGTTTGAAGGTCTCCCCGCCTGGGCCGCTTTCTTCGCGGGGGTCTGTCTGAGGCTGCAGGCCAGGCCAAGTGTGCTGCTGTTGTTAAACGCTGGCTCCAAATGATGGTACATGTTCTGTTCCGTAGGGCAACTAGGGTGGAAACACACAAGGAGCACTGCCAAGGTCTGGCTTGCTGAGAAGGAAACCACCCAAGCTTGCTCAAAGTTTTCCCAGTTCTGACTGATTTGAAAATAACAGACCTAAGCAGCTGTATTACCAAAAGCAGCGCTGGCTTTTGGGGTTTCTCAGACCTAATTGCAATGCTGGTGAGGTTTTTCACTCTGATTGGGACATGCCGGTGTGTTAGGGTCAAAGGCAGGATGCAAGTACTGCAAAGGAGAAGGGGGTGGGAGTGTGACGTTGAGAGTGTGGCTGTATGGGGAACCTCTTGGGGGCTAAGTACAGAGTTGGGGATGGGGCTTTGTTCAGAAGAGAAGGCTCAAGAGGCCAAAACCCAAATGTTCCCATCCTCAAGCAAGACCCCTGGAAGTTGCCCTGGAGTCTCCCCCGTTTCAACCACTGAGCGCCCAGTCCTGAATACCCACCCTCTATAAGCATCCCAGGAGAGTGGGCTGTGAGGAGCGGGCACTCTGCCACCAGACTGCTGGATTTGAGTTCTGGCTGGGACACAAGTAGCTCCCAGCCCTTGGACTCCTTACTTAACCTCTCTGCGTTTCCTGATCTGTGGCATGAGGTTGACAATAGGTGCCAAACCTGTCTCAGGCTTGTTGGGAAGATTAAATGAATTAATACACAGAAAGCGCTTCACGCAATGCTTTGTCGTTAGTAAGTGGCTTCGTAAATGTGAGCTCTTTTATGATGTTTCTTGTTGCTGTTGTATGCTTCCTTCTCGCCGTTCCTCCTGTCACCGGTTTAGTTCATAACCTCATCACTTCTTGCCTGGATTGCTCCAATTGCCTTCATACCGGGCTCCTTGCTCTGAATCAGGACACTCTTGCTCCAGTCTGTTCTCCAAACCGCAGCCAGAATGCTCGTTTTGAAAGCATAAATCTAAGCCAGTCCTTCTGCCTAATTTCCCTCAGAGGTTTCCTGTGTCTTTCAGGATAGAGTTCGGATGCCAACTCTCTCCTGGAAGGTAGGACCTTCCCGACTCTACCCTTGTCTCCTCGCCAGCCTCACCTCCCAGCCTCCCACTGTGCAGCCTTGGGTTAAGCTGCTGACTCTCAGCACCTGTCGTCTTCCCACCCTTCCTTGTCTGGTCAACTCCTGTGCGTCCTCCCCTTCTCAGCTGCAGCGGCACTGCCTTCCAGTAGCCTTGTTGGCATCCCCTCCCCCGAGCTGACTGGGTGCCCTTGCTTCCTGCTGGTGCGTTAACCTGCACACTCTCTCGTCACTCTGTATCATCATCTACAAGTCAGTCTTCCCTGCTGCAAGTGCCTTGAGAGATGGATTGTGATTGCCAGTGATTGTTTGTTGAATGAGTTAATGCACGTCAGTCAAGCAAAGTTCAGTCCTTTTCACTAAAGCCAGAAACCAACATGGAGAATAACAGAGAGGAGGACCAAAGCAATCTTTGTATATACTACTCTACAATAAAAACTTGGGAAAATGTAAAGAATCAAAGGTTGGTCAAAAGAAATATGGCATACTATCTTGGAACCGTTTTGGAGATATTTTTTTAATTGTAAGGGGTCAGACTAACCATGGGGAAATGTAGAGGTCTGAACACTTCCCTTACTGCCCTCACAAAAAGGTCGGCCATCTCAGATTCGGCTGTGGGGGATGGAGGTCCAGCTCGTTGAAGGGTTGTGCAGTGAGTTTAGTTCTGGAGGCAGAGGCGAAGGTCAACGCATGCAGGGGATTTGTAGCCCTTCCTGGCGTTGGAGCTTCCCGTGGGGTGTGGACTTCAGCTTGCCCTGGGACTGGTGTGATGAGGACAGGAGCTCTCCCGTCGTCAAAGCTCCTCTGTTACTTTTCAGGCGGCTCAGTGTGTTCAGTGGGTGTCCTGACTGAGGCCGAGTGCTCCGCTACTGAGCTGCCAGGAGCCCTGCAGAGGGAGGTCAGATGGTGCCCGGTTCTCTGAGATGGCCTCAGAGTCCTATTTAAAGGGTCCAGGGCAGGGGTTTGTACAGCTGGGAGAGCAAAAATGCTTTTTACATTTGTAAGGGGTTGTAAATAAAGCAAATCAAAACACAAAGAATATGTGATAGAGAACATGTCTAAAATACTTACTACCTAGTTCTTCATAGAAATACGTTGCCAGAGCTGAGACAATTGGTTTCATTTTGCATGTCATCTTTGATTAATTGGTAGTGGCTGCCTGGACAGCTGGTTTGAATAGGAATCCAAGGTTGGGTCCAGGCTTAGTAGGTAAGAGTTCTGTGGTCAATTAGTGATGTCTGTCCGTTGGTGGGATTAGGAAGTTGTGGCAGACAGACCTTGTCCTCACCATCCCTCTATCTCTCTCACCATGACAGAATATCATTGAAGGACAGTCAAGGCAGAAATTAGGGACAGATCACATGAGTTAAAAGTGATCCCTAAAGAAGCCAGGAACTTTCCAATACAACAATAAACTATCACCACAGTTCACATTAATAGCTTCGACTTATTCAGTGTGTACTATATATGGACATGAGGATCTCATTTAATCTTTGTAATAGTTTTTTTCAGGAGATACTTATTTTAATTAGAACTCAATTCTGTTGCAAGTATCAGAAACCCCCAAATTCAAACTATTTTAAGTAAGAAAAAGAACATTATTTTGATTCTGATAGCTCTACAGTCCAGAGGAAGATACTTCAGGTATGGCTTGATCCAGGGCTCAGGCATCATTACCAGGACCTGATTTCTCTCTCTGTATTTCTTGGTTTGCTTTCTTGGAGTTGGCACCATTTTTAGCTCCCATTTCATTGCAGGACGGCTATAAGAGCTTCAGACATCGTGGTCTAGGCTTTAAGTCCAGCCAGAAAGTAGGAGCCTTTATTCCAGCACTGCTTGCAATGACTGCCTGTGGCTCACTGGCTTTGATTGAGTCCAGTGCCTGTTCTTGTGGTTGGGGTTCCACATGTTCCTAGGGCTTGGGCTTTGTCACAGTTTTCATCCCTGAGCCATAGGCTAAGGAGTAGGAACAGAGATGTTTCTACAGCCGAACATTGTTATACTGTCACCAGGATATGAGCTGATGGATTTTGGATTGCAAAACAACAGATGTCCACTATAGTACTGCTGGCATTCCTAATTCATAGATGAGGGGAACAGGCTTGGGGGCACTCAATAGCTTGCCCAAGGACGCATGGCTAGCAAACAGTTCTGGTTCGAAACCCACAATTCACGCCCCTATTTAGAATTATTTGTGAACAGCACAATTTAATGTGAGTTTAATGTGAAGCTCTATTCTTTCTATTTCTGAAAATATAGCTAACTAAGCACAAGAAATGGTAAGTACTGGCTGACTAGAGGACATGAGAAAAAAAGAGGACATGGACTTTTTTGGCTGGATTTTTACTCACTTATTCAACCAATATTTTTGAGCAGTTGCTACGTCCTCAACACTGTGTTAAGTTATAGGGCGATTAATATCTGGCCTCCTATCTTTAAGGAATTTATAATCCAACTTGAAAGTACAAGACATAATTAGGGCACAGATTGGCTGGAGTGAGGGGTATGCAGGGGGAAGTGCAGGAGCTGAGTGCCCCTGATGGGGACAGTGACCTTGCAGTTTGTTTACTGATGTGTCCCCAGTACAGTGCTTTGTGTGATAGGCAGCAATAAATATTTCTTGAATACGTTATTTTTTATTGTAGTTAAATATACATAACATAAAATTTACCATTTTAACCATTTTTAAGTGTACAGTTCTGTGGCAGTAAGTACATTCACATTGTTGTGCAACTGTCACCACCCTCCATCTCCAGAACTTTTTCATCTTTCCAAACTGAAACTCCACACCTGTTGTACAAAAATTCTCCATCTCCTCTGCCCCCGGCCCCGGCAGCTGCGCACATTCTGCTTTCTGTTTTTATGAATTTGACTACTCTGGGTACCTTACTTAAGTGGAATCACACAATATTTGTCCTTTTGTGACTGGCTTATTTCACTTAGCATAATGTCTTCAAGTTTCATTCATAATGCAGCATGTGGCAGACTTTCCTTCC